CGCTCCAGCGGAAATTGAACGCGATGTCTCGAGCGAGACGAAGTGGAGAGAGATGGTTGGCGATGATGAACCGCGTAGCTCGCGTTCGAAAGCCACATCCGGTGCTGAGAAAGGGGTTCCCGACCCTAGCTCGCAGCCATCTTCGCGCGCAGACGCTCCTGAGCATCTAGACGACGACGAAGCTCGCATACAAAAGCTATGCCGGGAAGGGGGAGTAGGACTCATCACGGAGCTGCTTTCAAAGGCGATTCCGAATGAGACCGTCCCAGACACGTCCAATATTCGCAATTGGACATTTCGCGATATTTACAAGCTGCCGAAGGCGCTACAGAAGGAGTGGTTTGACGCTTGCCGCGAGGAGCTTGAGGCGCTCCGTCAGCGCAAGGTTTACTCCCTTGTGGACCGTCCGAAAGGACGGAAGGTCATCAAATGCCGCTGGGTCTTTGATCAGAAATCTGATGGCCGCAAACGAGCCCGGCTTGTAGCCAAGGGGTTCAGTCAAGTCGAGGGCATCGACTATGACGAAATCTTCTCGCCTGTTGTCAGGTACGAGACGTTCCGACTGGTCATCGCGCTTGCCGCGCTTGAAGGCTGGCATATGTCAGGTCTTGACGTCAGGAAAGCCTTTCTATATGGCGATCTAGATGAAGAGATCTACATGGAACAACCCGAAGGCTTTATTGCCAAAGGGAAGCAGGGCAAAGTCATGCTCCTGCACAAGGCGATCTATGGACTGAAGCAAGCTGCTCTCGCATGGTGGAAAGCGCTGACGAAGTCCACGAAAGCCATGGGCTGGGTCCGACTCACATCGGATGCCGGTGTCTTCTTCTACGAGGACTCGAATGGTCACTTCTGTGTGATCATCGTCTACGTAGATGATGCGATGTTCTTCTCAAAGGACAAGAAGCTCATTGCCTTTCTCAAGGCTGAGTTCAACAAGCGATGGGAATGCCGCAACCAGGAAATCACTGAGGAGTTCCTGCGCATGCGCATCACACGAGACGGATCTAAGATCAAGCTCGATCAGATTCCGTACCTCGATAAGGTGCTGCAACGCTTTGGGATGCAGAACTGCAAGTTCGCAGCGACACCTCTACCGGCCGGCTACGTTCCAATGCCAAATGAGGATGATGTCGATCCCGCACTCCGTCAGAAATTCCAGTCGGTCATTGGATCGCTTCTCTTCATCATGTTGGGCACGCGCTCCGACATTGCGTTCGCAGTGACCAAGTTGTCACAGTTCGCCGCCAACCCGTCTCAGGATCACCTCCATAAAGCGCTGTATATCTGCCGCTATTTGGCTGGTACCAGGGATTACGCACTTGTCTTTGATGGCAAATCTAATGGCGGACTTATTGCGTACACTGATTCGGATTGGGCCTCCGATCCAATCAAGAGGAGATCGACCACCGGCTTCTTCATGAAGTTGGCCAACGGGAACATCTGCTGGCAGTCACGTTTGCAGCGCACAGTCGCAGCCTCGTCGACAGAAGCAGAATACATGGCGCTCTCCGACTGTAGCCGCCAAGTGATGTGGCTGAAGAGTCTCTTAGGAGAACTCAGACGCAAAATCACTGTTCCTGTCCCCATCTGCGGTGACAACCAGGGCTCCATCTTCACAGGCTCTAACGCCTACCGGGACCGCCGGATGAAACACATCGACATCCGTTATCACTACATCCGCGAGCTGGTCGAGGAGAAGGAGGTCGAGTTGTTCTTTATAGACGGCTCTGACAACCCTGCGGATTTGTTCACCAAGAACTTAGGGCGCACTCTGTTCTTGAAGTTCAGATCGCAACTGGGACTTGAGTTCTACTCGTCCTAGACGGCCGATGAAGATATGCGCTTGCATGCGCTGGCGCGCACTTAGCGAGGGGGAGTGTTGAACATTCGGCCTGTCACGACATGTCACGTGTGCATCACATGCACTTACACGCGAGTATCATATGACTCAGATGGACACATATGGACACATAGGTTGGACTTGTCACATGTACGCTTTACTCAGCGTGTTCTGTCCTCTTGACTCATTAGCTATTACTACGTATGACATCGTCGCCTCTCCTGTAGTATATAAGGAGGGCTCCTCTGGCCCTGTAAAAAAAGGTCTTCACCTACTCTGCGCATAGCCTCTAGCTAAGCTCTCTTATATTCAGGTAAGCTGAGTGGTGCGCTTCCCAGCATGCTCAACAGGAACGGAACTGCGCATGTCAACCGCATACCATCCGCAGACTGACGGATCAACCGAACGGGCCAATCGGACAGTTGTCCAGATGATACGCGAGTGCGTCGAGCCCGCTCAATCAGACTGGGTCCTGAAGTTGCCGGCGGTTGAGTTTGCGATCAACTCCGTGCGCTCGGAGAGCACGGGGTATGCGCCGTTCTTCCTGAATACTGGTCGCATGCCCCGCGCCATGATCTGGGAGGACGCACCCACAACAGAATATCCCGGGGTGCGGACTTATGCGCGCCGCGTCAAGCAGGCCATCATGCAGGCTCATGACGCAGTGCTCGCCGCGCGTGTCAAGCAGACACGTGATGCCAATCGACGCCGCATCCGCGCGCCTTTTGCCGAGAACGATCTAGTATATGTCTCAACTGCCAACATGAACTTCCCGAAGGGCCGCGTTCGTAAGCTACTTCCCAAGTTCATTGGACCATACCGCATCCTGAAGGATCTAGGCAATGAGGCCTTCCTTCTCGATCTCCCGAAGGAGTTGAAGCAGCGGGGAATACACCCGCGCTTCCACGCGTCTCTATTGAGAATTCATATTCCCAATGATGATCGGCTATTTCCGGGCCGCCTTGAGACTCAGGTGGCCGACTTCGGTGCCTGGGAGAAAGAATGGGCAATTGAGGAGATTGTGGGACATCACGGCAAGGGTGCTGATGCAGTACTCAAGGTGAAGTGGAAGCCAGGCGACATGTCCTGGATCCCGATCAAGAATGTTGCCACCCTCGAGAAGGTCAAGCAGTACCTTGAGGCGCTTGGCGTTGACAAAGCGGGTGATCTCCCGGCTGGATCTGAACCAGACCCCGGGGATATCCAATTGTATGTAGGGAATCTCGAACTCACGATCGAGCCTCGTGTTCCCGATGGCGAGATTCACGACGAATCGGGTAATGGGCTTAGCTGGGATCCCCTTAAAAGGGATGGACAGTCAGTATGCCAAACCAACTCCATTTCCTCTTCCTCTCTCTACATACATACTATGGATACTTCTACCTTACCTCCGCTTCCCGACTCTCCTTCCCCTTCGCCCAACGCCAACCGTGTCGGTACCCGTTCCCACACCAAGGCCAAAACGGCGCCGGCGATCAAAAATGGCAACAAGGCGGACTCGGTCCAACCGATGGATGTCGACCCACCCAGTTCCGAGGCCGCCCCGCCGGCACCCGCGCCCAAGACGATGTCGTCCGTCCTCGACGCCGCCGGCTCTGCCGCCTCCACTCTCATCGACAGCGAGCCGCCTGTCGACACCGCCGCCGCGCTCCGCGCAAAGGAGGCCGCCCGCGCCAAGTACAATGCCGGTATCATCGCCGACCGCATCCGCCAGCAGGAAGCCGCGCGCTCCGACGTCATGAAGCAACCCATCCCGCGCGTCAACGCCGCCGCCGACGCTGGTGCGGATAAGACCGCGCCTCCGTCCGCCGCCGCTGAGACGACGCCCGCCAAGCGCGCCTCCGAGGACGACGGCTTCCTCCTCGGCCGCGCCAAGCCACGCGGCCCGGCCCAATCCGCCCACCGCCGCATCGTTCCCATGACGTGGGAGATCCGCGGACGCCGCCTCGTCATCCCTATCTACGCGCGCGACGACCCTGAAGAATACCTCTTCAGTTACCGCATCCCACTCACCATCCTCGTCGAGTACATGCGCTTCAGCGACGGCATCACTGCAACTGGAATCCGCCACGACGTTGTTGAGGTCCCATCCGGCTATGCCGAGTTCGTGGAGATCCTCCGGCGCGCCGACTTCGGCAAGCACATGTGCCCGATCGACCTCGTGACCGGCAAAGTCCGACCCATCCCCGACGAGCAGCGCATTGATCGGACCTTCTGGGTGCGTCAGATCCTCGACATCAGCAGCGGAGCGGCCGCGCATCGCTACATGGACGAGGTGGAGGGCAAGGTGCCCGAGCCCACCAACGAGGAGCTCCTCCTTCGTGAGGTGACGGCCATCGAGGCGATGCAGGGGCGCTTGTCGAACGCCCGCCGCCAGCAGGCCTTCGAGGCGAACCGTGCCAAGCGGCGCGAGGGCAAGGGGAACCAGTAGTTACTTACTACTTACTAGAGATCATCAGAACAACGGCTCGAGAGTTACTTACAGAAAAGGTTCGAAATATATACAAAAAAAAACAAAGACTCGTTTCTATTCTATACATACGTGCTACTTACTGGTTGCTACTGTACTTACAGAGCGCCTTAGAAGGCGCTGGAGGGGGGGTATGTGACGCCTCGGCCTTAGCCGACGCCACGTGCTCTGCCTTCACCCCTCGCGGGGGTATTTCCCTTGGAGTTCCTTGAGGTTCTCCTGGTTTCTAATGACTCGTATATATACTCCGTGACTGGTTATGACTACTTACAGCTGTAGGTATAAAAGGGCCCTCCTCCAAGGGAGGAGGGCAAGGTTTTTAATCGAGACTTCGTTACAGAGTAACCTCGTGGGAATCTTCTTCATCATCTCCGTGAGCCGAGCCCGGCCCGCTCTCCGCGTCACCGTACTCGCCTCAGACGAGCTCCTAAGCCTTACGAGGCCCCACCTAGGACGAGTGTGCCTATATCGCATCCGATGCCTGCTGCCTATGCTCAGCAATATCACAAGCATCGTCACGGCGAGGAATATTACACGAGCCTGGAAGGGAGGCAGCGATTTAATCACCATCGGGCGGGTGCTGGGCGCCGCGGCTCGTATGACCATCGTGATGAGTCGACCGTCACAAGGTGCTGCAGCTGCAGCCTGACAAGCATTCGTATTGTCGCTCTTTGGCTCCTATTCGCCATGCTCGCCGTCGGAGGGGCCGCCGCCGTGGGCGCGATCCTGTTGCTGGTTGGCAAGCCGTTGCTTGTATACTTCCGCAGAGATGGAGGCGAGTCGTCAACTAGCGGTGCCGTTGACTATCCGGCCCAACTCGCCGGTGCTGGTGCAATTGGAGGCGTCCTCGCCCTGTTCTTGCCGTGCATCGTCTTCCTCGTCGACGCATGGTATCTTCACCCGATGCTGCGACTCGCAGTCCCTCGCGCGCGGTGGGTAGACGTCGTGTTGTATATTTTGGCGCAGGTCGCCTTCGCCGTGGGTGTTGGAGTATGGAGTGCCGTCGTGCCGCTTGGTGGCAAAGGGAGCTCTGAGATGGAAGAAAACAGCGCGGTCACTACCGCGCGAGCAGTCGTAGATGGCGTGGAGGCCGCAGTGCTGGGTTCGACAGTGTTGCATGCTGGGCGCGCCTTGCTGTTTTCGGGGTTGTGGGCGGTGAGATACGTGCCGAGAGGGGTGGAAGAGGTAGGGGTGAGGTCGGACGATTAGGTACAGTTGAACAGGCAACACTCACGCGAGATAAACACCGAATCAATGATTAGAAGTTCTACTAGAAGTATTTCTTGTCGAACATCGAATAGAGCGGGGGGGTCGATGGTAGAATCAGGCTCGTTAGCCCGCCAAGAAAGGTAGGCGTCTCTCCATTGCCTATGGATCGTGGAGCCAGCCGGAAGCCTCATTGTCGGTGCCTACAATAGATTCATCAATAACAGCAGCTGTAGGGTGAGAAGAGAACATGGGTAGGCAGTGCGCAACCAGTGCGCGAAGCAAGCGCTCTATTGTCGAAGCTTCGGAAACCGGACCGGCAGACCAGACCGCCCAGTTGTCCCCGCCACGCGGTGGCAAACAGTCAACAACCATTGATTGCTTCGTGCCACAATCGCAGCGCGGACTCTGGGACGTGGCAAAGGATGAGAGGCGGCCTGAAGACATTTGGGAGGATGAACAGAGATGTATGCTGCGAGGGGAGGGCTGGGGCAAGGGACTCGAATGGCCATTGTTCGCTAAATCAGGTGCGCCCATTGTTCCGCATGGGATCACAAGCATTGACCTTCGGCGTGTGACCGCAGGTATATAGTGGATTCCCTGTGGCAAAGCACCTCTTTCTTCCTACCATCATCATCCTTCCCGCAGCCCACTGTAACCTCTGAACTTGAGCTGTATATCCTCGCGAGCCATTGACCATGGACTTCGCCGCGATCGTCACCAATGTCGTGGCGGCTTTCGCGCACGTCGGCGGTCAGGCGCTAGACGCCGCGCAAACGACCGCGGAAGCGCTCCTCATCGCTCTTACCATCATTGCCGCTCTGTTCCAAACGAGCAAGCTCGTCACTGTATATCGTGGCGGGACGCAGCTCTCGGGCGCGTCGGTCCTCTACGACCCACTGTACGAGACGCGCACCAGGTCCCTTCCGGCCTCGGCGCCTACTGCCAGTATCGCCGTTCCCCTCCGTGCTGGCGACGACTATCCACCTATCCCCCTCCACGAAACCATCCGGCTCGCTTTCATGGTGCGTCGGCGTCTAACTGATCGTCAATGAGCAGGCGCTTACATTTTGTGGCAGCTCTTCACACTCGTCCTAATCGTCTGCGCAGTCGTCTGCCAGGCTGTCAGCAATGTTACGGACCGCCCCAATGGTTCAAAGCCTGCGGACAGAGTCGCTCGACCTACCCGACGCCGTATCCTCGACTTGGTCCCGCAACAACTTCCCGACGAGTTTCCTACCGTCCAGGGCCTCAACTTCGTCGAGTCACCGTACGTGGTCGCATATTGTCCTTAGCTCGGATGACTGACCCTCTCGACAGTCTCGTTGAGTTCTACATCGTCGACCCTCTCGAGGACATCCCCCCTTCCTCTTCGTCAACCTCGAACCCCGCGGCATCTTCGGTCGTTAAGACGACGCCGGAGTCTCAAGAACAAACGAAGCACGATGAGCCAGCCCCTCTACCCATCCCCGTCGACGATCCTACCAGGCTGGCTAAGAAGCAGCGTCGCAAGGAGCGCCAGACTGCTAAGAAGGCCCTGCTACTCAAGCCCATCACAACCCAACATCCATACTCCCCCGACTCAGGCCTCGCACCATCCTCGTCGTGGTAAGCGCCCTCTTCGTCGCGTGTCACTCCGTCTGACTTCGAGTAGCGAGAAGGTCGTCGAACTGGTTCCGTCCTCAAGCACTCAATCCGACCTTTCTTCACGGTCTCTCGCCGCCGTCGAGAGGTGAGTAGTACACTTGCTCGTCATGTTTGTATTTCTGATCAGCGAGACAGTACTACCAGCAAAGCTACTTCCGTCTCCACCATCAATGTTGTCGTCCCCGCTGCTGTCGAGACGCTGCCTATCCCTTCGATAGCCTCCGCCGAAGCAGTTGAGGTACGTCGTAGTCACTTTCATGATCATCATGCGTCTGACCACGCTCGTGCCAGCCGCCGACTGATGCCACTGCTCCTTCGACAACAACCGACACCCCACCATCTCCTACGACACCCAAGGCTTCTGCCTACTTCCTTCCGAAGGCCTCTGATGCTGTGTCAGAGGTACGTTGTCTTCCTACTGAAGATAGTTCTCAGTCCTGACACTCTTCCTAGACGCTGTCTCAGCGGCGGGACGAAGAGGTCACTGAGTATGACGACGACGACGATGGTTCGTCTACTGTGGTTGCGCCTGAGGATGCCCGGCCGTCGTTGGGTGTCGAGGAAGATTCGTCGACGGATGTTGAGGAGGACTTGCCTGCTGTGGTCAAGGATGACTCATCGGCTATTGCCAAGAGTGCTGCTGCTCCTTCATCCGGTAATGCTCAGCCTGTCATCCGCGGCCTGAACCTCCGCGGTCCCGGAAGTGGTCTTATCAACCCCCGTAGAAAGACATGCTATGTGAACAGCGTGCTGCAGGTGCTGTTGCACACGCCGCTGGTCCTGCAGTCTGTTCTTGAACATAAGTGTAAGTCGTGCTTGATCGGTGCTCAGTGGACACGCGCCGATAATCCTCGCCAGGTTCGAACCCGGACTTCTGCCTCCTGTGCGCGTTCAAGACGACGGCGCTCAAGATGTATGCGAAGGATACTGCTCCATTCGTGCCAACCGAGATCATTGGAAACATGACCAGTGAGTCTTGAGCTGTAGCTTTCACTAAATCAGTGATCTAATTATCTTGTAGAGTTCACCGAGCTATCGCCATATCGACAAGAAGATGCGCAGGAGTTCTTGCAAGCTGTCATCAACCACCTCGATCATACGACCAGCTCGTGCGTATCCTGCTTGCTCATCGCCTTCATCGCAGTCAAGCTTTGCTTGCCCTTCCGCATCCCGCTTTGAAGCTCAAGCCCACTTACTTCTCACTTCAGAGCGATCGACAGCTCGCTCGTCGAACAGGTCTTCCAAGGAAGCGAGCGATATCGAAGGGAATGTGCTGCGTGCGGTCAACGCGAGGACAGATTCCAACCGTTCAGAACTCTGCGATTGAACTTGAAGGAAACCGTTGAGGCCGCGCTCAAAGAGCTGACTTCGAAGCAGGCGGTTGAGGATGCATCGTGTGATGGGTGAGTTTCTTCTACATCCTAGTTGCACATGATATGCACTTGAAACTCGAGCTGATGCCTGGTCAGATGCAACAGGAGAGGCCACCGGAGCGAGACCAACACCATTCACGACGCGCCGCGTATTCTCGCGCTTCAGCTCAAGCGCTTCACCCATGTTTTGACCAAGCTCTCCGGTTCGTGCGGCTACACGGAAATTTTGGACATCGAGCCCTACATGAGCACTTCCAACACCGACCCGACCGCCTCGACCCAGCACAACGACCGCCCGAGCACCCTCTACCGCCTGTATGCCGTCGTCTGTCACATTGGCCCGGCGATCCACCAGGGACACTACCTTGCGTGGGTCAAGACGGGCGAGGGCAAGTGGGCGATAATGAACGACTCCTCTGTTATAGTGACGGACACGCTGTCGGCGTCCGAAGAGGACGGATATCTGTTCTTCTACGAACGGGTCGATGGAGCGGAGGCGGAGGCACTGAGAGCGGACATGCAGGTGCCGCAAGAAGCTGCTAATCTGAGGCGTCGTGCGCGTCAGACGCTTGCGAATGTCCGAGGTCCGCTTGCTGCCACTGAGGAGGGGTGGACGACGGTCCAGGTTCGGAAGCAGAGGGCCAAGCAGGAACAGCCGAAGGCGGACAAGGGCTCGCAGGAGAAGAGAGAGAAGCACGCATCGAGTGGGAAAGGTAAAGGTGAGTGCTTGTGGGTGGTTCGTGACAAAATGATACTGACGAGGTATACAGGCGAGCGCAAGGGGAAGAAGCAGACTAGGACGACGCGATGAAGAGGGTGTCGAACAACATTCGGGAAATACACGACTGGTCTGCGCACGCCCCGCCGGAGGGACGTGACTGCGATGAACAAGGGCATCCCTTCACCATGGATGCAACGCATCCCGAGATGGGGTGGGAGGCCGTGCCGACATGCGCGCCACAATGAAGGACTTGTACCTCTATCGAACATCGCCTGGGCCACGCGCTCTCGTCGCCGATGTAGCGTCGGCCTCGACTGTTGGATGATGTCCAGTCAGCCTGGTGCGCGCCCGGGCTGACTGGAGATCATGCAATGGCCGATGGTCAGTTATGCTGCCCACTCTACCGGCAAATATGGCACGCGAATCAGTCTAGTACAGGAGACGAGATGCAGCAGTAGTGGGGATGCGCTGTTGCGTGTGATGAATGCGTACCTTGTAACGTGCTTCTGGCTTGACACTATCTGTAGATACCCGGACGCCTTGGTTGATACCCTGTAGATTACTGTTTTTACCGTACTGTACTTGCTCTGCGTCCCAAGGGCCTGGCTGGACTTGTGGCCGGCAGATGCCGATAATTCGATGATGTCACAGCGAGTCGCTGGTGGCTGGCTTCTCAGTTTGGACCTGACCTTCACTCGCAGAGGCTCCTGCTCTTCTCAGACCTGTGAATTCAAGTGCCATATACCTTTGACCAGCAATGTGTCCTCCGGCAGTGAACGACATAGAACATACATACCGGCACTTTCACGCTCGCGACCGACCCAAGCGACCCTGCGCCTCCGCATGGAGATTCACTCATAAATCTGAAGATAAAAAGATGGAATAGTAATGAGTATTGGATAGAGATACCGCGAATACACTGAACACTGTAGGTACCGCCGACTCGCGATTTTCTTTCTGCTCGGCGAGTGAGATGAGGGAGGGCTGTTTCATACGTGTAGAGCGCCGGTGGCCCTTTCATCTTCCCCTACTTATCATGAGCCTTGCGCTGATTCTCGAATGCTGATGGTAGATGTAAGTATGCACGATCGCAACCGACAAGTATGTAGGTACTGACCCGCAAGGACGGCATTCTCGGTACGTTGACTGTTGCCGTGCTCCTCCTTCATCTTCAACAACAGGACCTAGACTAATTAGTTACCGGGGCACGATGAGTACGAGCAGTGCGCTTACCTTGACATGCTGAAGGATATCATCCAGCTCTTGCTGCGTCATGTAGGCAGACGTGGCTGATTGAACATCGTGCTGGCCCTTGCTGATATCGGCCATGCAGGCTATCTGCTCCTGGACCTTGACGTTGAGACTGAACATACTTGTGAGACGAGCAAGAAGGACAGCAGGGGATGTCCAACAAGAAGACGTACTGGTCAACATCCTGAGCGATCAGAGCAACGTTGTCAGGGTCGAAGTTCTGTGCAGTCAGCTTCTCCAGAGCTTCTGTGACCTCCTCCTTCATTATGCTAAGGCTTCCCGCCTCGTCCGTAGTTCGAGTCGCTTCCTGTGCGTTCTGGACGACCTTGATAGCCTCGGTGATTAGGTTGATATGGTCAAGGCTCGCGGTGGCCTGACGAATGAGGGGTCTTTGTGCGGCCATAACGACTACCGCTACACGAAAAGGACACAGAGGGAGATGTGGGCTGTCCGCCGGGAGTCCAATTTGCGGGTGACAGACGAGGTGAATGCAGACGGAAACTTGCTGTAGTCGTGGGAGCCGAAGCGGTCTTCCTCCTTCTTCGGAGCATGCAGTGGCGAAGCATTCAGTCCAATCGAAGGGGACCAGATGATCATCGCCCCAGCCAGGGAATAGAGCAAGCCTCCCGATACTACGAGTTCGACTTTCGGACGACGTGGGGCTTCAGAGATTCGCTGGCAAAAGTGAAGACAGAGAAGGCTTCGGAGAGCGCGCGAGGCTTTTCTGGGTTCAAGATGAGCTTCATCAGTTCCTGCGCCAGTGATCAATGTAGGAGGTAGGCCCACTCCGGAGCCCAAATGAGCAACGGGACACGGGCCGGAGGGTCCGGGCTTTTATCGAGGCTCCTGCGACTCAACTTCGACTTGCCTTCGACCATGAATCTCGCTGCAGCCTCATTCCTGTACTTCTGCGTGGGTTTTGAACTGAAAGTCCTCATGCATGAATTCACCGCATGGATACATCCGTCGAAAGGAACAATGATACCCATGCTTCGAGCAAGATCGTCCGGCCTCCCGTGCGCAGGAGACCACGTCGTCCTACACTGAGAGTTGCACGAGGCTATACGCAGGATTTGTCAGGACTGCTGGGTGCGAGAGTACAGAGCGGACGGCGGGTTTGCTTCTGTCCACAGCTTGACCTTCTAACCTTCATGCATTCGAACGGAATCGCGCATGCCTGTAGAAACTTGCATGGACCCAATCAGAGCAACATCGATGGGGGGGTGATCACGACGAGTCTACGCTCTATTCAGGATCTTCAGATGTGCTGGGCGACTTTCTGCAGTTTACGCGCCTGAGGTACCTCGGCGCGAGGTCACTCTCACACTCGAGGTATGTGACCCACGTTTCATGCGCTCAGCTCTGGCTTATAATCAGAAGCCTCGGAACCGACTCTACTGTATTGCGTTTACCTCCCGCGAGCTCCCACGTGCAGGTCTACTAACACACGCGCCACCCTTCGAGGCCCCGCTTTTGAATATTCAACATCGACTCGCGCGGCACAATGGGCCAAACCTGGAGCGAATGCCTCCCGCCACCGCCTACATGGACAGCCGCAGATGTCCCCGACCTTACAGGAAAGATCGCCCTCGTCACAGGTGGGAACAGCGGCATCGGGAAGGAAACTGTGCGCGCGCTTCTCGAGCACAACGCGACGGTATACCTTGCTGCGCGGGACGAAACGAAGGCGAAGGGAGCGGTAGATGAGCTGAAGGAAGCAACTTGCAAGGAGGCGAGGTTCCTGAAGCTCGACCTTGCGGACTTGAAGGCGGTCAAGGCAGCAGCGGAGGAGTTCTCGAGAAGAGAGTGTCGTCTGGATATTTTGTTCAATAGCGCGTGAGTGAACCCTTCGTCTTTTGTATGTCGGCTCACCCGAAGACGTTCCGCTTCGCAGAGGCGTCATGATGTGTCCTGTAGAGCTGTGCACGGCGGATGGTAAGTTGAGTGGTATCTTGGCGATTTCGGATTCTCATTGATCTCCCGTCATTCGTAGGCTATGATCTTCAATTTGGTACCAATGTTCTAGGTGAGGATCGATCTCTCGTCTACATAGTGTAGACTGTATGACAACCTCCGATTGTCAGGACATTTCTACCTCACCAGGCTTCTCCTACCCGCACTGTTGGCGTCAAGGAGGGAGACAGGCTCCCCGGCACGCGTAATTACCACCTCCTCGATTACACACCGCATTGGACGCATCGACTTTGCAACGCTTCGGGATAGTCCGCGTCGGAGGCGAAAGTTCACGCAGACACTTTACTTCCAGAGTAAATTGGTGGGTATTCTCGCTCAGACCCCGTTTGTCGTGCCGATGCTCAGAGCTGACCCGTCGCCTCACAGGGTGATATTCTCATTGCTACGGAGCTTCAACGCCGGTACAGTGAACAGGGCCTGGTTTCCATACCCGTCAACCCTGGGAACCTCGATAGCGATCTCTTTAGGCATCTGCCACAGTGGGCAGTCAAGCTGTTCGTGGTGCGTGGAACCTCGCCTGATATGTACTACCTTTTGTCGAGCACCTTCACTCCTTCCTATATCGATAATGTGCCTGCTTACGTCTACTGCAGCGACCTGTTCTGTATCCGCCGCCTATGGGCGCGCTCACGCAGCTATATGCTGGCACAGCTCCGGAGGCGGAGAGCTTGGGTGGCAAGGTCAGTGGAGGGCGAGTTCGGCACGACTATAAATCACCTTGGACTCATCAGTCCATAACAGTATCTCCAGCCGTGGGCGCGGCTTGGTAAGGCGCAAGCACTGGCTCACGACGAGCAGCTAGCACGTGAAGTATGGGCATGGTGCGAAGAGCAGGTTGAGAACCTCTGATGCCCAGTGGACTCAGTGTCTTACTCTCACGACTTTCTTCTACGACCTACCCTGTACTTTCTTCTCCTTCTATGTACCAAAATCACGTAAATTACTCCCATACGCCAGAGGCCGTTCGGCTAGTGGCTGTGATGACTTGTGGGTCCATTAGGAATCTGGCACGTGATATACCCCGATCGTGACATTGAGAGACGCGGTGTCGAGAACGCGTCTTGACCGAAACAATCATCCCGAAATGTCGCACGCAAAGGCCATCCTTGGAGAGGAGCTGCACGCGCGACTTGGGCAGACCAAGGTGCTCCTCGTTGGTGCGGGCGGTATCGGCTGTGAACTACGTGCGTATATAAGACACACTCCCCCGCCCCCATAACCAACTCTTGATCCCCCGCACAGTCAAGAACGTCGTCCTTACCGGTTTCGGACACATCACTCTTCTCGACCTGGACACCATCGACCTCTCCAATCTGAATCGCCAGTTCCTCTTCCGCAAGAAAGACGTGAAGCAGAGTAAGGCGCTTGTCGCTGCTGCTGCTGCCGCGCCGTTCAACCCGCGCGTCCGAATTACACCTATTCACGGCAACATCAAGGATCCTGAGTTCGATCTAGAGTGGTTCAAGGGCTTCGATATCGTCTTGAACGCGCTGGATAACCTAGGTGCGTCGTGCGCGCTTGCTCGAAAGCTGTCGCTCAATTGTAGCCCAGATGCACGACGTCATGTCAATAAGATGTGCATGGCTGCAAACATTCCCCTCGTCGAGTCTGGCACGGCCGGGTACCTTGGCCAGGTGCAGCCTATCCTCAAGGTGAAGTGCTCTGCTCGTGTTCGGGTCTGCCCCCAAGCTCATCGTGCTTAGGACAAAACTGAATGCTTCGACTGCGTGCCGAAGCCAACGCCCAAAACCTTCCCGGTCTGCACTATTCGCTCCACGCCTAGCCAACCCATCCACTGCATTGTGTGGAGTAAGACCTACCTCATGGGGTATGCACACCACATCATCCTCTCTGATAATCAAGCATTCTGACGGCGAACCTCAGACAGCTGTTCGGCGAGGATGAGGATGCAACCGGCGAGCTTGACGAGGCAGAGAAGCAGGGCGAGAACGGTGAGTGCGTTCGACTCCCTCATGCCCAACGGGAGCGAGTGCCGCTGCCCGCCTCTTCACTATGAGCGTACTGTTGGCAATTGTATCCGTACAGTCCGCTTTTTGCCTGTACGCCAGATATTACTGCACGGAGAGCCAATCTCACTTTTCTATGAGCCCAACTTTCCCGTTCCCCAAGTCGATCTTTGCATTTGTGGCTGACTGTCTCTTTGTCCAGCTCAGGAAATTGCTACTCTTCGTAAGGAAGCGCAGGCATTTGCGGCAGTTCGCCGAGCTCTGAGGGATCCTGCGTCTAAGGCTGACGCAGCGAAGATGGCCTTCGACAAGGTTTGTGGCACGTACTGTCGTCATCATACTCGAGCAGTCTCTACTAAGTCGCTGCGTCCTCCCACTTCTCCTTACTCATTGTTTGTTCGGTTCATCATCAACTGTTCTCACCCGCTTTCGAACTTGTAGGTCTTCAACGCGGACATCAAGAATCTGCTCATCATGTCGGACATGTGGCGCAATCGCGCTCCTCCGACCCCGCTGGACTTCGACGCTATCATGTCCGGTAAATTCAATGTACCGGACGTGCCATCTGCGTCGACCTCGGCAGCGGCGGCGCCTTCGAAGAATGGCAAATCGAGCGCGAAGCAGAGCAACGGGGTCGGGTCGATGGCGACGGAGAACCAACTGCGGAACGGGCCGCCGACGCAAGCAGAAAACGGGACGTCTGCAGCCAAGTTGAAGGACCAGCGTACCTTGACGTTGAAGGACAACTTGGAGTTGTTCGTGGATAGGTGAGTTTGGCGTTTTCTTGCGATGGACCATGATCGTCAGTGACAGCGCGGATACATCAAGCTGTCGTCTGGTCCAATCAATGGTTTGCCCGAGTGCTTACTGGTTATATCCTTAGCACGAACCGTCTCGCCGCACGACTGCAGAGTGGGAAAGAGGAGACGATTGGATTCGACAAGGACGACGATGACACACTCGACTTCGTCGCAGCGGCGAGCAACCTGCGTAGCTTTGCGTATGGAATCGAACGAAAGACGCGATGGGAGGTGAAAGGTGAGCGCTCGTCCGTATCCTGCTCCGCTTTGTGGTCGTGGATGAGCTGCTTCAGCTTCTATTGAGCACGCCTTTCGTACACTTCTTTGCCTCCTCTCTACAACGGCATACACTGACCATCATACTGGCAGAGATGGCCGGAAACATCATACCAGCAATTGCGACTACGAATGCGATCATCTCTGGTCTCATCGTGCTTCAGGCTCTGCAGCTGCTTCGACGATCGCACGACTCCGCGCGCCCAGCCGGCCCCAAGCTCGAGATGCGCACGACGATGCTCCAGCACAAGCCTGCGGTTCCGTTGTCGAGCGTGCGGACGTGTGCACCCGACCCTCGATGCGGGGTGTGCCGGGACGTCTACGTGGACCTGAGGGTGGATCCTAAGCGAGCGAAGCTGGGCGAGGTCGTTGGGGCGCTAGCACGCGCTGTCCATGGATCGCTGGTTTCGGCGGACGATGAGGCGAAGGACTCGATGGACGAGGACGACGATGAGGATCCGGCTGCCAGCTTGTCCGTGTTCGAGGACAAGCGGATCTTGATGGATCCGGACTTCGACGATAATAAGGACCGGACGATGGAGAGCTTGGGCGTGACGCGGGGCAAGTTCTTGACGTTGGTGCACGAGGATGGTTTGTGGGGGGCGACGGTGCAGTGCGCGCTGGGAGTGCTGAGGTGGGTTTCCCGAGACTTTTTCAATTCTCGATCCCGTGTCTGCTCGCCGATGCTCCTCTTCGCGTCCTTCGCACAATTTTGCTAACGAGTCTCGTACAGCGTCTCGCACCCTGCAGACGCGCCGCCGTATCAGCTGCCCTCGCCTTTCCCGAGTGTGCCGAAGAGAGCACGGGAAAAGACACCAGTCCCTGCCAAGTCAGTCACGCCGCCGAGGGCGTCGCTGAAGCGCTCGGCACCGGAGGATGACGATGTCATCGAGCCCATCGCAAAGAAGGCCAAGGGGGCGAATGGCACGGTGAGTGCTCTCTATGACCCTGAGATTAGATGGCTATGCAAATTCTCAATGACCTTTGCTGATACGTCAATGCAGGCGGTACCGGATGCAAGCCCTAGCAAGAAGAGACGACTGGAAGAAGACGGATTGATCTTGCTGGATAGCGCAGTAGAGACGTTGGAAGATGACGATGTCATCATCGTCGACGATTAGGAGGTGGACTCTGCGACTCTGTTAGATCTCGAAAGTGGAATTGTTCCTACTGCTTCTGTGTATGTGAGTTGTGATATCTCGCGAGGGATGTGTGCTCAATGTTGCTCAGCTCTGCTAAGATCTACATTATCTTGTTGTCGGACAGTTTTTCCTGTTGTCGCTGCTTTACAACCATGATTATACTGAACTTGCAACCCTGTCTCGCTTCTGAACATCCTTCGTTACTCGTATATGCCTGCCCGTCGCTACTTCCGCTGCTATTTCGGTACGTTGACCCTCCTGCAAATCGCGGGACCTTCTTACACGTTGACAGAAACAGACTTGGCGTATACATGCCTAGCTACGTTCGCGTGGTATCGCTATGTAGTGCGGAAGAGGCTATTGAATGGCGCGAAGCCCTCCTAGGGCCGAGTCGCTGCGCGTAGCAGGTATGGCGAGCTCAACAGGAACGACCAGCATTCCGCAGGCGAGCAGCTGATCTGGCACTGGACGACAGCCCTTACGAAAGAGGGCGCCTATTTCTGTGCACGGGTTCTAGTGTACGAGGGCTCATAGGCGCCCGTACTCGTGTTGCGGGCTTTGAGAGGGTTCTCGCAGCCTTATATACTTGGCTGACGTCTGTCTTCGCTCGACCGCGCCTTTCACGTCCGGGACACCTCTGCTTGAAGGTCTGAGGGCGCAGCAACCGTAATTTGGTGAGCATCGTCTTGAGCTGCTTGGTTTGGCCATGGAGTACACGACCGATTGAAAAGCAGCTCGACGACCATGCCCGCATTGAGCAAGAAGAAAGCATCAGGCCGCGAGCAGCTCGCGCGGCTAAAGCGAGAGGTGAGTCCTCTGCTAGGGACTGTGCCCCCTGCAGCAACGCCCTGCCATGATGTATACCCTTCCCGCACGTCGGCTTGCGCATTCAGCCCCTCTTGCATCCACGTCATCCCTCGCGTCTCCCTTGACGACGCTGACCAACTACGCAGCACCAGAAACGACCTCTCTATGCAACCCACACCCGGAACCAGCAGCGCAATGCTGACGAGGCTATCCCTGAGGTGCAGGCCACCTGGTTCGAGAACATGAAGAAGGTGATGAACGAGATCGATTGGGCGACGGACGGCAGGGCGCTTCCGCTCGAGGGGCCACTGCATTTTCTGGACCTCGGGTGCGTCCGGTATACAATCGTACGAGAGGTCGGGCACTTACCAGAGACGCAGATGCTGCCCCGGAGGTTTTTCCTCCTACATTTTAAAGAAAAATCCGGAAGCTTGCGGAGTGGGCGTGTCACTTCCAAGCGGCCACGACTATTTACTCGAAGAAGAGTTCCGTCCCCGACACGAGCTCTGTTGGGCCGATCTGCTGCGCTACCCGATGTGGGAGTCCAGGTGCGGCGACCGAATGAAGAATTTCGACGACCTCCCCTGGGGCCTTCGCTGTCGGCACTTTGATCTGGTCATCCTCGATGGGCATCCCCTGCGCTCGCAGAAAGCGGACACCTCCAACGTCGGCCCGCGCCTCCTCGTCACCCAGCTCCTGATCGCGCTGCAAACTGTCCGCCGCGGGGGGACTATAATCGCGAAGCTGAGCGGCGTACACCGCCCAGATACGCAGGCTATCTTGTGGATGCTGGACGCCCTGTCTGACCGGTTGACGACGTGCAAGCCGGTCAGCATGCACGCGACGCGCGATACGTTCTACGTGGTTGCGGAGGGGATGCAGAGAGAGGGCTGGGTCGGTATGGACACGGATGATGGGCGGTGGGCGAGGGTCCTTGGGATTTTGGAGGTGATACATGGGTTGGAGGGGAGGTGGGCGGATGTGACCTTCCGTGGGGATAAGAGGAGAGTTGCTGAAGGGATGATGTGGGAAGCGGTCGGGTGCGGGGAGAAGGACAGGGTGGCGTTCAAGAAGCGGATGGATGAGTTGGCGGAGCCTGTAGAGCTCGTGCAACGTTTGGCGCTTGAGGGGCTGGCGGAGGAGGAGAAGGCCCGTCCTGGAGATATGTGACTGATATTGGACTGTTCTGCGTCTGTTTCTTGTATTCACGCTCTCGTTCTCACAGCTGCTGTCTATCTCTTTTGCTGTCTCGCATGTATTTGTATTGCTATAATTCGACCCATACTTGCCCTTTTACGCCTGTGGATAGCAACACTTCACTGGACAGCCTCTCACAACCAGGCCTCCCCACAACTGCATCCTCACCTCGCGCACAGGATTGGATACGAGATCGAGGGTGATCACCAAGAGGCGGAGGGTTATACAACTATGGCGAGGACGATGAGCGTCGCACTGCCTGTCCGGAGCGTCATTCGTGGGGTCGGCAGCACTGACTGAATCAGAAGCAGAAGACCTCGCGCGCTGGATTGGGAACAATAGGTTTGAGCAACAAAGAACACTAGTCAAACTTGCCCCGTCGTGCGTTATCTCAGGAGTTTCGCACCTACAAGAAAACATATAGTGTGCAGGAACTCGCATTTCGCACCAGCAAGCGTGTGTTTGGATACAGTGGAGGATCATCTCTTCTTCTTCCCCTTCCCCTTCCCTCCACCACCACCCCCACCACTCCCTCCTCCTCCTCCTCCTCCAGCTCCTCCAGTTGCCTCGGGGCCTGTAGTGAACCCCTGCGTCGCTCCCGTTCTCCCGCGCTTCTTCCCCGCGTGATACGTCGACCGCTCCGTCTTCTTCAGCCAGCGCTCCGGGTCGGGCGGCGGCGTGACGCCGGGGACGACGCCCTTGGGCACGCGCCGCGCACGGACCTTGCGTGGCGCAATGGGTGCGGAGGAGCCAGTAGGAGGTTGGGCTTTGGGTGCAGCATTCGCGGTGGATGTAGACGCCACCAGCAGCTCCGCCTGCGGTCTCGCGGGCGCGGGGGGCGGCGCGGTCTCGAGGTCGGCGGCGTTGGGGAGGCGCCCGAGGGCGGCGAGGAAGCCGGAGGTGATGAAGTCGAGGTGCTGCTGGGCGGCGTGGAGGTTGTTAAGGATGTCTTCTTGCTCGTCGGCGAGTTCCTGAGGGGTGGGGTGTTAGATATGATAGGGAGGTATGTGGCAGAGAGGGATGGATGGGTTAGAGAGTGTAGCGCGGGGGTTGATGTGGGAAGTAACGAATGGCACGAGTGTAAACAGCATAAAGAGGGTCGACGAGACATCAGAGCGCGCAAGCGACAGTGAGCGAAGTATGAGTGCAGTGCAGGGGATCACAGCACGCATCGTTCGGACAGATAGAGAAGAGACGCACTGGCTGGTCCAGAAGCTGATTGTAAAGGTCGCAAGCCGTGGCATAGTCCCCCTCACGGTAGCACTGTTCATTGTTAGTTGGATCAGCCTTCCAGCACTGTAAGAGGCCGATCATGGAAGATGGCTACGTACGATCTGCGCGCGCAATACCAGCACACTGCGGTCATCTTGAGGTGTGATGGTGTCCAAAATCTCCCGCGCCTCCGCCTCACGCTGGAGCTTGTACAGGGAGTATGCGCGCTCGTATTGATGTTGAGAACCAAGTATGTCAAGAGCACCTGCATGCTGGTCGGCCTCCATCATCGCATAGATCTTCGCCTGTAGTGCGTCCGCATCGTTCGGGTCGAGCTTAAGGACTGAGGGGGCGGTTTGTGGTCAGAGATATGTTCGCAGGCGGAGGGCATTGCATCATCAGAGGGGAGCAAAGGGAGGCAGAGCGAGCAAGCGCATCAGAACGTGAGAGCGCAGCTGAGCACGGGTCGGGGAACTCAAGCAGCACATCCACTCACTCTTGTCGCACGTCTTGATTGCATTCTTCCAGTGCCTATCCGCGATCTGCGCGACAAGCGAGTTGAAGAGTTTCTTGATACGCTCAGGCTCAGAGAGCGGGGGCTTCGCAGTTGCAGCTTTCTTCTTTGATTTCACAGGGCCCCCTTTTGCCGGGGCTTTAGCCTTCGACGGCGGCGGCATGATGAGGAGGAACAAGGACGAGGGCTATTGACGCGTATTTGGGCACACGTGGAGGATGGCGATCTCGGGCCAAGCGCACCCACCTGCCTTTGGTCCTCAACTCAGTCACCGTCAGGGATAGAAGTGGGAACATTCGTCGACGCCGCAGGATGTCTACCGAAGAGTGCGTTTGCTGCACGATAAGATGCAACAAATTACTAACTTGCGTCTTCAGGAACTCAGCTACTCCCCAGCCCGAGGCTCAGCCCCCAACCGAGCCCGCGGCCATGGCGGCGACGACCACGAACAGGAAGCGGCCCCGCCTGGACATGAACACGGACGCCCGGGAGCGCAAACGCGGTAAAAGTATGTTTGGACTCGTGCTAGGTACCCTGAACAAGGCCAAGAACGAGGACAAGGAGCGCAACGCGTCCGAGGCGGTGAGTATCTGGTCCGGTTGCTGGGTTCACGTTCCATGAGTCCCCTGCAATCAGTCATCCAGAATGCTGACGCGCTCCCCCCTTCCAGGCGAAGAAGCGGCAGATGATAGAGAAGAAGCTGCAAGAGAAACTGAAGCAGGAGACTGATACTGTCAGACGCGCGGAGGAGACGAAGAAGGACAAGACAACGGCGGCCAGGAAGGAGGAGGACCTGCAACTCAAGGACTCGGTGGTGCGTCTCAAACACTCCCCTCCTGCCAGGTGTCTGATAATGCTCGCGCAGTACAAACTCCGCCGCAAGCGCCTCCCCCTTCTCGCGAACTTCCTCATCACTTCGGATGTCATACCCGAGTCTCCTGACGCCGACGATGCACCTAAGGACGATGCGGGGGATTCGAAGTCTGGCGACGCAATGGACACGGACGCGGCAGACAAGCCTGACGCGGCCAAGGTCCTGGCGCAAGCGCAAGCACCGCGCCAACACCCACCACCACTTTATTACCTGCCTGCCATCTTGTTACCATCGCAAAAAGCCTTCCTGGAGAAGCGGAAGAAGGAGGTGCGTGCAGGTCTCGTTCTGCAATAGTCCTGCGCCTATTTAGCTTTGGCGTAGCCTGAGTGATTCATATGCAATCGTCTTTCACACCTCTCAACTCCTCAATTGACAATGTCATGTACTAACGCCTCAAACCAGGTCACCGAAGCCGCGGAAAAGGAATGGGAAGCTTTCGCCGCCGAGCGCGCCGCAGGTATCACCGAAATCGACCAGCTCAGGCAAAAAGTCGCACAAGAGTCCGAGGAGCTCAAGAAAGCCGAGGCCGCGCTCAAGGCGGCCAATAAAATCGCCAGCCCACCTGACTTCCCCGACGCCGACAAGCCCGCAGCGGGGGAGAACGGCACCGACGCGAAGCCCGACGTGCGCGTCGACACCGCAGGCGACGTGCAGATGGACGAGCCGCCGCCGGGGTCCGCAATGGACGTGGACGAGGGGGCGAAGTCGGAGGAGAGGGTTGCGGACGACGAGGCGAAGAAGGACGAGGTCAAGAAAGACGAGGAAGAGAAGGAGCGGCAGCAGAAGGCGAAAGCGAAGGAGGAGCAGATGTCGGCGCAGATGCGCACGGACGAGGACGATGCGGTTGAGTATTAGATCTAGGTCGTGCGGTCGTATGTGTTGGTGCTTAGGCGTGTTGGTGCTTGATGATGATGCTTGGGGGTGCGTGCTTGCCGAGAGCGGTTGCCTCTACTACTGGCTTGATTTGTGAATCCATCTCTGCTTTGGACCGCTGGGCTGTGACTGACGTATCCCCCTTTAGAATTGCGTCGTTTGTCTGCTACCTGAGGCCTATCTGCCCCCCGTCTGACCGACTCGGCATGTCTTTGAAGTGAGTTATCGTTCGCTTTTGAGTCTACTGCGTCTGTGTTGATGTTTTCTGTCCGCGATAGGCTACGTGTACCTGTACGTTTTTCTTTTCCCCTCCCTTTTCCTTCTCTTTCTGCTCTATCGGCGCGTCTTGCTATACTTGACTCCATCCCGACCTGCACGCGCTGTACTCACCTTTCGTAATGACGAATGATTATGCCGCTCTCGCTCGAATGGCCCTAATCTTGTCGCCCTCCCCGCTGAGGTGGCACGAGAGTTCGTTCGTCTATTTCTGATGTCCGGTTCTCGAGTTCGCCCGTCAAATAGTACGCGGTCTTCATTGTCTGACTGCAGCGCGATGGTCCTTCGTTGAGGACTGGTGACCCACTAGCGCAGCAAACTTCGTGCACCCTGATTCGACAGACAATTCGGCGGACAGAAACTGCTGACCTCCACTTCTCCGCGCTGTTTTGGCCAGCCTATCGCTTATATAGCTTGGTGAGTGCTTCCTCTGCTACTGTGGCAAAGTGCGCTGGTTCTGACGGCGTCGATAACAAGAACTCCGTGTCTTCTGGTCGCAAGAATGTCTAAGAGTACTGGACATAGACGTGTGGAATTCAACTTCGCCGCGTACTTCCACTCCAGTGCCACGTACGCTTCTGTTCGTCTTGGAGCCATAATCTGGCTGGAGTGGGAGTCAGTCCGATGCTGGAGTTTCCGGTCGGTATAGCCCTCGATTATGACCTCCGCTGAGCCAGCTCCCAAGTGGCCGGCCGTTGAGCGCACGTTGAGCCAGTCATAGTTAAGTCGGCGCAGAGTCATAGTCAAATCACCGCAGAGCCACAGTCGGGCCGCCACTGGGCCACCACAAAGTCGTCGTCAAGTCGTCGTTTGGACAACCAAACAGCGTTTCGCCGCAGATCTGCGGAAGATTGTCGTGCGTGCGGAGGAGATTGGATGGATGAGATTTGCGGTGCGTGAGCGAAGAATGCGATGCGTAGGCGGGGAATGCGGTGCGTGGATGAGACGTGCGGAGTCTGGGTCATGATTGCGGTGCGTGAGCGTCGAACGTGGTCGGGAGATCGTCCGGAAGATCGCCCGCGGTTCTCGGGCGCCCTACCGAGCGACGACGGGGCTGCGTGGACAAGGCTGGGCTGATGGTGCGCGGGAGACGGACTGATGGCACTCTAGGAACCGGGGGATGATGCGGCTGGACCGAGTGATTGGGGTGAACATTGGGTGGGATGGCGCCAGTGAATGGGATGACGCCGTTGAACAGGATGGCGCGAATGAATGGGGGGCGCCTTGACCCGACAAGCTGGCCATTCTAATGGGGGACCAGCCATTCGTCAGACAAGGGGGCGGAATGCGCCGAGCAGATGATACAGTGCGCGCGACGCGTCGGGGTGCCACCGTCATCGTCCGGCCCGCACTCGCTGCGTCCGTTTTGCCACTGAATGTGCTCGCCCGCGACTCCTACTGTATGCGCGAAGCAGCCCTGGGTGTGATTGCGGGTTTATCTTTGGGGGAGTCTGTATTGCTGCTATCATTTGGCTATCATCAGGCTATGTTCGAGGGGACCGGTCCTAATTTCGAGGGCGGGACCGAGCGTTGTTGGCAGAAAACCTGATGTGCAAGTTATTTCTCGACGACTCAATACTATTTACTATGACTCCCCGGCACTTGTTCGCGACTCTACCATATACCGGATCAGTTCTCCCTAAATGTGTGTTCCAATGGATTATTCGCATTGTCCCCCGAGGGCCCGCTATCCCACGCTAAAGCAGCCACCACCTTCGCGCAGATCTGGGTCTCAGCGATAGAAGGGCGACAGCACATGTCGTGTGATCACAGCCAACTGGGAAGAACGGCAACGCAATACCCGACAAGGATCCAAGTGCAATGTGATGCACGACAATGACAGCGTCTTTCCGGCTCTTTAGAGAAATCCTTTGAAGGCCATATGCATCCCGCGAAGCATTTGCTCAGGGTTTGCCACGCGCCCGAGACGCACAGTCCATTGTCCTTGTTCTAGCAATCGCACAGGGTCGTCTCTCATGACAGATACTTGGAGGGGAAATTCCCTGCACCGGAGCTTCTTTGCTTTATTGGCGTGGGACGCGATCCAGTATCGTGGGCGTGACGCGCGAATAGGTGGACTCTATGGGGACAATGGGATCGGCAAGGGATTTGCGCTCAAGGGCCTGCTTGATTGTCGCATGACGAAGCGTGCGTCAGGGATTGTGCGTGTGTGCGAGGCGATAGCATCCGGAATCTCCTTTCTTGGCGATGAGGGTAAGGGCTTGGGAAGGGCGCTAGCGGCGATTGCCAGGAAGGTCAGACTTGATGCGGGCTTTCTGTTGACTTGGGGTGCGCGGGGTACAAAGTAAGTCTGGCCGGGGCGAATATAGGTGCTCGGTGGGGCAGAGAAAACAAGTAATATTGGAGTCGCGCATCAACTGCCATATCACGTTCTCTAGCGGGTCCGGAAGACCGCGGGGCACAAGCAGACGGGAGGACGGCGGCGTCTCAGTCGACACGCACCAGAACTGCGAAGGTATTGACATGCCTCTGCAACGCTTTTTCTACGTAAGAAAATACAGCCGGCGCGGCTGGCTGGTTGGTGTCGTTTGCGGTCCAGATCAACTGGCAGGCGCGCCGCACCCCCAGGCGGCGCCGGGACGATAGGAACGTGCGGGGCTGTGGGGAGTCATAGGCACCAGGAGGCAGGCTTCGAGCCATTCATGGACTGGTTCTTATCGCTGCAGCAATAGAGATGCACACGGTGAACGTAAACGTGCAAGCGAGCCTCTGCGCCTTGAGTTGATGAAGCGGTATGTCGCTGCGAATTGGACGCGAATGTCTGACCACAAGGCTTCCAGCAGGTAGAGCTCTGGTCGTCTGCCGTAAGTTTGGCATCATGAAAACGATCAGGCGACGAGTTGACTGGAGTGTTATAGGCTAGAGGGGCTGGGCAGACGTGAGGAGCATGTATAGAGCGTCACAGAAAGCCCAGCCAGTGATCAGACGTAGCTTCGCAGTGGTCCATCAGAACAGAGAAGAGCCGTATAGTCGCTTACACGGAGCCGTAGCGTAAGCTTGATGTGCGCCAGAGAGCGAGTCAGCGAGCATGCCAGGAGCCGCCTCGCTCCTATGAAGCTGGCCACAGTCGGTGAAGCACGGCGCATTGTTCCAAGTGGAGGCTCGGGGAGAGGAGACCTTTCGGTGCTGCGGTCGAAGGCGTTTCGGTGTCGGCGAGATCAAGTCAACGTTGTGAGCAGGAGGTTCCAAGACCAACAATGCCGATGGGAAAATGTGATGACCGTCGTGGCAAAGGAATCACGTAAAAATTGACTCTACAAATCAGATACCAAATGCGGTAAGGATGTCAAAATGTGAGTTTTCCGCGAATGATGGCGCGTGTATTTCTCCGTTTGCGGTCAGAATCGAGATCTGCACATATATGCTTCCGACCGGAAGCAGACCACACCGCGTTACAATGAAGGTGGTCTTGCCCAAAGCGCTGCTAAGGGCCGTATGAACGGCCTTGCGCTTACATGTCGTTTGGATCTCTAACGAGCTGCGGAAACGGGCGTGAGAGCAAAGAAGGCGAAGGAAGAGGCTTCGACTTGAAATCTCAGAGTCTGGGGTCCCGTGAGATCAGCATTTCCAACTCGGTCGATCGCGTTTACTGAAATAACATATCGGTGGGTCACTGTCGGCTTGCACCCGCTGCAGGCATAAATATCACTTCCCTCCGACCCTCGTTTTCCTGACCTACCCTTCCAGCCTGTCTGGTTCTCATATTGCCTTCATCCGCTTCCGTCTGCCTTCTTCCCTGAATTCAGGATCCAGAGCATGCCGCGCGCGGAAGTAAAGTCGAGCGCCTCCACCGCCTCGGCGTCGGCGTCACCGTACCCCAGCCCGTCCGCGTCCAGCGCGTCCTCCACGACCTCGCGCTCGTCGACGACCTCGGACGCGTCCTCCGCAAGCGCTGCAGCGAAGAAAAAACATGTCTGCTCCCAGTGTGGGCGTGGCTTCACCACCAGTGGTCACCTCGCCCGCCACACCCGTGTCCACACCGGCGAGCGCAACCACAAGTGCCCCTTCCCCGGCTGCGAGACACGTTGCTCGCGCCAGGACAACCTCCAGCAGCAGTGAGTACTAATCTGCCTCCTCCCTCCTTCCTGTTTTACTCCCGACGGCACCTATCTATGTTTTACTTCCGTGCTAACTGTCACACTTTGCAGCTATCGCATCCACCTCTCGCCTGGCTCCCGTCGTGTGTCGGGACGGGCGCTGAAGCTCAAGCGCGCGTCGCAGATTGCGCAGCCTCCCATGACCTCGCCACTCGTCCTCCAGCCTGCCACTACCCGTAGCCCGCCCCCACCCCCAAACACTCCGCCGCCGCTCGAGCAGGCCCCGCTCACGGCCCTTGTCGCAGAATCGCCCGCTGCGTCCCCCTCGTCGGGCATGCTCAGCGCGACCCGCGGCCACTCGTCCTCGCCCGAGGGGCCGTACCCGCCACAGTACATGTCGGCCTCGACGTCGCCCGTGACGACGCCGTCCACATACGGCTACCGCACTCCCGCCTACCCCACCTCGTCCTACGACTACTTTTCGGTGCCCGCTGCGCACCATTCGTATGTCACATACGCCGAGAATTGCGATAGCCGGTACGATGCGCGCCAAGCATACGACCCGCGCCAGGTGTGCGATGATAGGAGCTGGGGCACAGGGGCTCGCGCGTCGTCGGGGTATGACCGTGCGTCGTACACTGACGGCTCGTCGCGCCACTCCCTGTCGTATATTGCGCCGGCTTACAGGACAGCGGAGCCCCGCCGCGAGATCCTTCCATCGCTTGCGTCCTACTCCGGCGCGCCCTCGCCGACTTCGACGGACTCTGCGGGCTCGTCTCCTACCACCCCGGCCTTCCCCTACACCAACAACACTGCGCTCGTCGCGCATGGCATGCTCCCGACAGCGGATGACTACGGCAAGGCTCCCGTATCCGTTGAGCAGCAGAGCGTCTCCGACTATCAAAAGGCCGCCGTCGCCGCTTACCCTGGATATGCCATGTATGACCAGCCATCCCCGGCGTACGAGAAGCACTCGCAGACCTATGATCAGCGTTCTCCGGCTTACGACCAGGCTTCGCCTGCGTATGATCAGCCATCTCCCACGTACGACAAGCCTGCGCCCGCATACGACCAGCCGTCCCCTGCCTACGAGGAGCCCACGGCGTCTGGGGTCGCTGTACCCGATACGCGCGCGGCCATTGTGCTTCCGCCTCTGGAGGGCCGAGCGTACCAGCCGCGGTCGACGTCGGCCGCGTACACGCAGCGCATCGAGTACATGAACTCTGATCGCGCGCAGTACGCCCCGTCGATGGACAGGGGACTGCCGGGCATGCTTCCTGCGATGGACCGCGGGCTTCCGCCTCTTGAGCGCGGGATGCCCGCCATGGACCGCGCATCGGCGTATGAGTGTGGGAGAACTGGCTACTCCCACTCATACGACATGTCGTGGAAGACGGAGGGCTCGACGCGCGGGCGACTTGTTGGAGCGTACGCGCAGTGAGCGCCGCGTCCTGCTCATCTCCCTGCTCTCCCCATTGCCCTCCCAAAATCCACTGATCTCCCAAAATACTTGTCATTCTACTATTCGTCATCACCACTATTATCCGTCAGCCCGATTAACTCACCCATATAATCTCCCTCCGTCTCATCATATTGTCCCGACCCTGTGCCATAGTGTTCTTCCGTGCCTATTCTGTATACTCGTGTTCTTCTCTTTCCTCCCGTCTGGTACTGTTTTACTCACCGTCTGGCACTGTTCTATCGTCGTCTGGTACTCATAATTCTCCCTGGTTGGAACTGCTTTACATCCCTATTGCCCATCCCATGCATCGCCCCCTGCTCCGTCATAACTGCTACCTTACTTATTGCGCGCCCCATGTGGATGATAATCTGTGTTGCTACCTACCTACCTATATGTTGTGTATAGTGTTCAAGTTCTGCATCGATTCGTGGGCGTTATTGCCCTGCGGGTCGAGGTCCTTATTGGCCTTCGTGATCATGCTATTTATCATAGCTTTTTCATCGACTTCTATGCTCGTTATGTTCCTCTCCGTCGTCGCACACTTACTACTGTACGCTGCCTATATTCCACCTAGTCATATACACAAGCAATGGACTTTGGAAACGCTCTCGAAAACGGATGCCGATGGACATATCATTCACGCGAGGGATGGACCCTGTTCTGCTCGCACCGAAGGATTATCAGACCGGTTCGATGCGCATGCGAGGGATTGGCCCAGTATGCGTAGCATACAATAGGGTCCACGTGCCCATCAGGATTCCATCCGAGAACAATAAACGCTGTTTACACATGTTTGTCGGGAACATTGCACTTAAGCGCCGTTGATCGCCATTGTGCCATTCTGATTCCGTGCACCTCTTCCCCCCCACCATCACCCTCACTACGACGCGCCGTCGTCCTTGAAATCTCCCTCCTTGAGAGGATATCGTAGTCTATCTCGCGCACAGCGACTACGTCCCCCAGTCATACCCTCAAAATGACCAAGTGGCGCAAAGCGTCCATCACCCTCGAGTACGACGCGACGAAGGCCCTCTCCATGGCGCTCATGGATCACACGACTCTGGTCGGCCTCCTGCGTGCAGACCTGCTCAAGCTCAGGTTCCCACATCCGAAGACGGAAAACATTGCGTTTCCGACACCGGGGACAGTAGCATTCTTCTGGGACAGCGTGCCATGGGATTCGGTGAGTGGGAGAGGTCATCTAAGGCGGTCGCATGAAGTGCGAGGGTCGTGGATATGGGACTGTATACGACCTTGTCAGCAAGGAGGGTAGAGGGGAATAGCTCGAGAAGGATGGAACGAACAATGAATGGAAGGCTAGTTCACGTCCATGCTTATGCTGACGCGTCTTTACCCAGCCACTCCTGATATCCCTACGCGAGAAGACGGACATGGCTAAGAGAGAGAATATAGAGCAGCACCACGAACTGAGGATGTACGTACACTCGATCGAGCGAAATGCATCGGCGCTGATGCTTCACTTCCCTCTACAACCGCGACCCTTTCGATGTCCCTTGTCTTTCCTCAACGAATCTCTCCTGCGCACCATCTTACGAACCTCCCCTTTCATTCATGATTCCCGTTATCAGCAAGAACATACGCATGATCGAGGAACACTCCTACAACCCGCCACCACCAAAAATACACCCGCGCGGCGAGCTTTCCATGTCCAGCAGCATGTCACATATTCCAAGTCTACCACCGAACCCTCAGCGGCGGCTGGACGAGGAGGCAGAAGCGCTGCTGAGTGAAGTTATACCCAAGTCGGAGCCGATGGACACAGGGATGGTGAATCTCTTCACGGTTCTTCCTCGTCGTTTAACGCTAACTCTTCCTCAGTACCCCTCCGGATCGATGCTTCCTCCGGTTAGCACCTCTACCTTCTTCGCCCTTTTCCCCATCCTTCCCTTTCACCACGCACCACATCGTATCCTTTCGGCCATCGTCTAACCTGCCACCCCTAGTCCGTCCCAGGCCCCTCGGGCGATGCATATGAGACTGGTAAGTGTCTCTGATGTCTCCATGCGGCTACGACCCTATCCACCCTCCCTTTCCCAATGTTCACTCCCCTTCAGCCTTGAACATCTCACCGCCGCGCTCGCCGGGTCCGCCCGGCGCCGCTGCGCAGGTGTACACGGCTTACGAAGGGAGGAGGCGTGAGTGATCCCCGTCAAAGATTTTCCATGCGACAATGTGACCCTTCGTGCACTTCTTCCCATGCTCTTCTGCCTTCACGACGTCGAGCTTGCTAACCAGACATTCTCCAGCCGGCCCTTCGACCTCTCGACTACCACCGCGCTACCAACCGACCCCGCAAGAACTCGAGCACGAGCTCGCTGAGGTGCGCGCACGGATCGCGCGGACGCAGAAGCGGGAGGCGGAGGTGGTGGATATGATACAAAAGTTGCGAGGATCGAGTCAACTGCCTGGGGAGCTGGGAGAAGAGAGTCGTGAGTGTCTTTTTGGTTGTCTCGTCCCTTCGTGCGAGCTCCTTGTCGCGTTGACTCCTCATTGTATGAACTGCCCATTGTGCGGACTTTTGGCGACGTCGAGGCGGACCGTACGCTTGCGACACTGAACATTGCTAACACGCTCTATCTAGGTACCCGTCTCCGGCTACGTGCCGTCGAGCGCGAGCTTGCGTCCGAACGGACGAAGCGGGTCGAGGCCGAGGGCGCGATCCAGGAGGTGCGGAGGGAGGCGGAGGATGCAGCCAACGGCATAATGAACCCCGACGGAACGATGAAGGTGAGTAGCTAGTCTAGTCTGCCAGTTTCGCGCCAGCACGGCCTTGAGCGAATGACTCTGGAGGACGACATTCTGACGCTACCACGTAGACAGCCCGCTACCCGTTCGTGGTGCCAACGCTGCTGGACGCGTTCATCGCCGTCACGAGGATCCAGGGGAGAGGAGGCGCGGCAGGGCCGGGTGGCTTGGGAGGAGGCGGGATGAGCAGCTTGGGAGGTAGCGGTGGCATGGGAGGAGCTGGGATGGGTGGTTCTTCAGGGAGTCCGATGGGAGGGATGGGAGGGGGTATGAGCGCAATGGGAGGAAGTATGAGCGGGATGGGAGGAGGCATGAGCGCGCCCAGTGGGAGTGTCAAGGAGGAGGAGAGATAGGATCGGAGCGAGGTCCGTCTATAATGTGCTTCTGGCCTTGCTTGGTCGTGTCGACTGCTTGGTTGTACTAAGAGTGCTTTGTCGTGCTATGGTTGCTTGACCGTGCTGAAGCTGCTTCCCTGTATCATCATGTATGCTGCTCTGACCATGCTCGTCTGTATAATAGAGTATGCTTCTATGCATGGTCCAATAAGCTTGCCTCCTTTGTGCGGTCGACATCTAGCCTGCCTCGTGCTATCTGCCGCGATCGCGGATATGAACCTACCTTTAGGGGATGTAGGTGGAGCGCACGTCTCAGCCCCACTGAGTCCGAGATTGCTAAAGGATTCTATCAAGTCGTGAAGTCTATCTAATCCTGAAGGTCGCTATATCGCAGATGCGGTCGCCGACTGTCCGACTTACTCGCCGATTTCAGGCTCGCGTGATTTCTTGGAAGGGCTCGAGCCAATCAAGCATCAAGTCATGAGACGACGACCTGCGAGTGAGAGCCGTCAAATTCGTGGGCATCCTTCATGGTCGCTTCGGAGATCGTGATGATGAGGACCTATGTGAGGGCGAGCCGGGAATGTAAGAATAGAGAAGAATTTATGTCGCTGCGAACTCTCGTACTGAGGATGTTTTCGGGCTAGATTGGGTAGTTGATGTCAGTCGTCTCACTCCTGATCTCGTCCGTTCAAAATATAATGGATTGTTGTGCGTTGTCTAGTATGCGTGCCACAAAATACGATTCGTGATGAGAGAAGAGCTCCGCGAGTGTAGGTAGCTACTATCCGAAGGTCGGCAGATCCATTATAGGCTCGAGCCGCCGGGTAGCGTCGGTATGTAATGGGTGGGGGATAGAAAACATGGATGGGCGAGGGTAATCCTCGCCACCGATTAAACAAAAGAAAGCAAGTGCTTGAAGATTATGATACATACTAGGTGTGCTCGAAGGTGCTGAGTGCCGAGAGTTTGTTGTAATGTCCAGGACCGGGTCAGGTGCAGATAGTAGATACGCCAGTGCTGAAGGTCTCGAGACTTGTCACTTGGTGTGAAGCCGCAGTATGCCAACAGCTTAGTACCATTGGGCGAAGGACCCGTAGACCTTCATGTGAAGGTCGAGGATGATGTCCCCAAGGGCCGCAGCGGCCGCGTCGATCTCTGCCACAGCGCCGGTATCGGCGTTGGCCACTGACCTCGACATAATGATGAAGGCGGCAGTCAGGAGAAGCGCATCCGCCTTCAGAGCCTCACGGCTCGCGAAGACCTCGTGGAGAGGGCGCGTGGAGAGCCCGTTGTAGGTGAGGAAATCCTCGAAGCACAGGAAACGCGTCTGAGCGGGACGCGGACACTTTGACATCCTGGGGACGGTGCTGGTCATGATGAAGAGGTGTTGGTGGTCTCCCTCGTAGATCGCGAGCGGCGCCTCGGTGGCTTGCGTGAGGGGGCCCTGGCTGTAGTCGGACCAGTCGAGCGGCCATGCCAGGCGGCCGAGACCCGCCATGTCGCGGCGCCTCCAGAGGTAGGAGGTATTGGTGTTCGTGCGCACGATGCCGTTCATGTTAGCAGAGGGACAAGGTTTTGCGTGGCGGGGGTAGAGGAAGAGGTAGGCTGATCGCGAAGAGGTGGAATGGAGGCGCTTGACGCTGCGGATGGAGCTTCGACAATGGATGGCCTTGAGGAGGCTAGTAGTAGAAGACCTTGAACGGACTGTCTGGACAACACCAGCCCCTCCTGTCTTCTTATATGCGCGAGATAGACTGTCTTCCCACGCTGGGAGTGTTCCCACGAGCCATAGGCCCATAGCACACGGTTCACAAAGTGCTTGGAATGCTGAAGCGCCCATGGCGGTGCCGGATAGACGCGCAGACAACTTTCCCCATTAATCATAATCGTGGCCGCCGTCTGGCCAGGAGATTCGCTTATGACCCGAGTCTGGCTGTTTGCTACTCCGATGCAGGACGACGCCTCCGATAAATGAGGACGCCTCTTTCATGGGCTCGGTTATTGTGGAGTGTCGTCTCGCTTTGGTCGCCATGCAAGCGAGACCGACGAGGGCCATGACCCCGCCACCCCACTACGAATATCTGTTGTTCGTTGTTAAAAGCAGTGCATGGGAAAACACGCACCAGACACGAGGCTTAGGGCCAAAAAGACCAGGTGGTTTAGAAGGCTGTGGCTTGTAGACGCGTACAATGCTCGGCGCTTGTGAGGGCGCTTAAGGAAGCGTCATAAAATGCACATGATTGAACAGCTTGTAGTGATGCTTAGAACGTTCAAAGACAAAGCAGCGTGTGAGTAGAAGGACCATGTCGGCGATGCGGACGGTCGTGAGCGGCGGATCCATCTGAAGTCGAGTTTGAACGAAGCGCAAGTCGCAGGACATTCGCAGCTGACGGCCAAGAGAGAGTCGCAGTCGAAGGTCGAAGGAGTTGTGCAGCAGGAATGCCGCGTAAGCTTTTCCGCTCATGTCTTTCTGTATTACATGATTCCCTGTATCGACGGTCCTCGGACGTCCTGCCTCGTGCTACTGCCACAATCACGGATCGAACTTACCTTTTGGGTCTGAAGCGTCGAACGCACGTCTCCGAGATTGCTAGAAGGATACTATCTATCTGAGTTCCGAGTCTATCTGGTAGTAGTCGACTCTTGCTGGGTCGCTTATTCCCCGGCCGACCATCCCTGTGTCGAATTGCTTGCCTATCTTGGGCACGCGCGTCTTTTCGGGCTGAACGCGCAAGCCAAAAAAGAAAGTCTCCAGGCGATCAGATGCGCGCGAGGATCTGCGAGGCCGATTTGTCTGCTGTTTCATCCCTCACCTTCAGGAGTTGCTTCGGAGATCGTGGTTGGAAGAAGAAGATGAGCGCAGTCTAGGATTGGAAGGGTGGCTATAGCTCGACTCGGGAGAAGTTGGTTGGTGTAGCGCGATGGCATTTGTCGTTGTCCGACTCCTCACTCGTATAGGACTGATTGAACTCGAGGCTAGATTGTTTGCTGTCTAGTATGCGCGCCACAAAACGTGATCCGTATTGAAAACAAGTGTTCCGTGAGTGTAGGCTGCTATCTAAAGGTCAGCAGGTTCATAATAGGTTCGAGCCGCCGGGTAGCGTCGGTATGTAGTGGAGGGGATAGTAAACAGGAGAAGGCAAGGATAATCCTCGCCACCGATTAAACAAGGGAAAGCAAGTGCGGTTGGGATAAGATACAGTGTGGGGAGTGATAGAATACAAAAGACGATGATGTGAGAGGATATGCATGGGGGTCGTGAGATGCTGGTACGATTGTCCGAAGGGTCCTGCGAATGCGCAAGAGACGGCGGGTGCAAGGCGAGGGTCTGACGGCGTCCATGAGATCGTTAGGATCCGAAATGGTGGTCTGTCGCTTGCGGAGGGACCTCGCCAGGCCTTGCACGGTCTTGACGGCGCTAAGGTCCTAGTTCTGAGCCGCAGAGGTCGCGTTGGGTTCCGCGACCAGGATGTCGAGCTCCTTGGCGAACTCGGTGAGATAGTCCGTTGAGGTCGGGCAGGAGTTGGCGCTGGCCGCGGACTCGAAGACAGGCGTCGCAGACCTGACGACGTTGGCCACGGATGTAGCGGTGGCGGCGTTGGTGTCGGTGGCGGTTGCAGCAGCGGAAACGTTATCGACTTGCGGAGACTCCGCGTCCCCTGCAAGGACCAGATGCCTGGCGACTTGGTCCCGAATCTCGAGAGCGATGTCGCTCTCGAGAGGGCAGATCAAGAACCAGGGTAGTCCCGCGCACTGGACGCGGCGGAGGTAGATGCTGTTCTCCTCGGTGCTGAAAGACATGGTGGTGAAGCTCGGGGTTGGAGCGGAATGATGATCTTTGAAAAGCGGTGAGATGCTGAAATGGAGCTTCGCCAATGAACCGTCCTCGAGGAGGCTTAACAGTAGAAGACCTTGAACGGACTGTCTGGACAACACCGGCCCCTCTTGTCTTCTTATATGCGCAGGACAGTCTGTCTTCCCACGCTGGGAGCGTTCCCACGAGCCACAACACGCGGTTCACAAAGTGCTTGGAATGCTGAAGCGCCCATGGCGGTGCCGGATAGACGCGCAGACAGATTTCCCCTTGAATCATAATCGTGGCCAGGAGATTCGCTTGTGGCCCGGATCTGGCTGTTTGCTACTCCGATGGACGACGACGCCTCCGATGATGAGAACGCCTCTTTGGTAAACTCGGCTATGGGCTTGTGGCGCGCCGTCTAACCGTGCAAGCGAACCCGACGAGGACCATGGCCCCGCCACCCCTCGACGAATATCTGTTGTTCAAAATGAAAACCTGTGCATGGGAAAACACGCACCGGACACGAGGCTTAGGGCCAAAAAACCAGGTGGTTCACAAGGCTGTAGCCCGTAGACGCGTACAATGCTCGTTCAGGACGCCCGGGGCGGGCGCTTGGGAGGGCGCTTAAAGAAGCGTCATAAATTGCACATGCTGAAACAGCTTGTGGTGATGCTTAGAACGTTCAAAGACAAAGCAGCGTGTGAGCGGAGGGACTATGTTGGCCATCTAGAAGCGTCGGTGACTCGCCGTGAGCTGTCGTGGGCGGCGGACGCAGCGCAACGCCGGACGCTGGATTCGAGGATGGGTGCACAGCCACCGGCGGTATGAATGTAACGCGTCACGAATTCAACCGTGCACGTGAAATTCCACAGACCCTCTGCTGCAACGAATCGGAGGCATTCTATTCCGACTCTATTCGTCAAGTGGTCTTCAGAGACGCGCCACCACTTCCCAATGGAACGATTCATGTCGAGCGCACCGCGCTCCAGAAGATATTACATTCTGTCCGACCGAATCGTGCTATCCACAAGGCAGAGTATATACAACGTCCTGGCTAATAGTCACTGGGTACGTATGAACAGGCGACCTGCCGTACGGAGCAGGCGATGCGTCGTACGGAGCAGGCGACGTGCCGCAGAGAACAGGCGGCGTGCCATACGATAAAAAGCGACGAGCTGTACATGGCAAGCGCATTCGCTGCGACGATACAGGGAGAGGGAAGAATCTGCGACCACGAAGGGAGGCTATCCGAGAAAGATGCAAGGGTGGATGGTGATCAGGGACAATGCAATGCTATAATATATAAACAGGGTGATGAGGAGGAGAGCAAGGCGTTGAGGAAGGAATCAAGACGATGGGTTGCATACAGGTGGATTGAGGTGGATGCCCTGAGGGAGAAGGTAGGTTGCCCCTCAGGGAGAAGGTGGGGATGGGGGCAGATGGAAGGAAATGCTGGTGGATTGGAGAGCAATGTGTCAGGTAGGTGGGTAGCGCGGTGAGTAGGAATCCAGGGGGGGTATAACGGTGGTGGCATGCGAGAGATGATGAGGACATATGGACTGAACCAAATCCTGTGGATGGCGAGGTATGACGGTTTGCCACCGAGGAAAGAGGTGGGTGGAGATGATACGAGGACACGCTGCGCTGCGCCCATCCCCTACCAGCAGTCCTCCTCCTTGATCCGCGGCGGCTCCTCCTCCTTGAGCGGTGGCGGCGACGGGATCCGGGCGAGCACGTTCATCGATGTGAGGTGGAGGGGGAGGGCGCTGGACGACACCGCGTGCGGGGCGTACGGCTGGGGTAGGTGCGGAGCGTACGGCTGGGGTAGGTGCGAAACGTACGGCGCTGGCAGAGGGGGGAGATGCGAGGTGGCAGAGAACGGCGGACCGCTGCGCTGCGGTGCAGCCGACGAGACGCATGAGTGCGATGCGCCCGAGCCCGATGACGAGCGGCGCGGCACACCCGGCAGCAGCAAGGTCTCCGGCCCCCTCGCCGCGAGCCTCAGCCTCAGCACCTCCGCGCGCAGGTCCTCGTTGTCCTCCCGCAGGTCCCGGTTCTCCTCCCGCAGCATGTCGTTCTCGCCCCGCAGCCCGCTCACGGCGTCCCGCAGGTCGCGGTGCTCGCCCTGCAGGATATCCTTCTCCCGCCCCCATGTATCCCTCTCCCGCCCCCATGCATCCCTCTCCCGGCACCAGTCGTTCTCGCCCGACACGCGGCCGTCGAGCTCGCGCGCCTGGTCCCGGTACGCACGCGCCGCGTCCCGCTCGACGAGATACCGATCCCGCTGCGCGCGCGCCGCGTCGCGGTCAGCGCGGTAGAGGTCGCGCTCGCCGCGGTAGCGCGCCGCCTGCGCGCGGAACTCGGACACCTGGCCGCGCAGCGCGCCGGCCTCGACGCGCGCCGCGTCGCGCTCCTGCCGGTAGCGCGCCTGCGCGTCCTGCGCGTCCTTCAGCCGCCGCTCCGTCCCGTCGAGCTGGTTGAAGCGCGCCTCGGCGAGGAGGGCCTGCATGTGCGCCTCGGTGCGCTGCCGGGAGAGCGCGAAGCGCGCGTCGTCGAGGTCGCGGAGGGCGTCGTGGAGGTCGGCGCGCGCGGCGGTGAGCGTCGCGAGGGCGGCGGTGGACGAGTGGGAGGCGGATGCGGAGGGGGAGGGGGAGGCGTGCACGAAGGCGGAGGGCGAGTTGAGGAGGGGCTGCGAGGAGGGGCCGGCGATGTTCGGCAGTTCGTGCGCGAAAACGTCGAGCCGGCGCTGCACCGAGGCGAGCTGGCGCCGCACGGGCGAGAGCTCGTCCTGCGCGTCTTCGGGCGGCGGGGGCGGTTGGTGCGGCTGTGCGGCCCGCGGCGTCTGCGGTGTCCGGTTCGATGACATCGTCGAGGCCGAGTGCGTCGCGGGCGGGGTGTCGGACGACGGGGGCGGTGCCAGCAGGGCGGCCAGCGACTCGGGCAGCCCGCGGTAGTGCGGCGCGCGGATCGGGGGCAGCTGCACGCGCGCGGGCGCGGGGGAGGGGGGCGACGGGAGCGGGTTGTACGGATCGGAGGTGATGCAGCGCTCGAGCTGGGTGAGGAAGTGGTTCGCGGTCATGTGGGTGTACGGGGAGGCCTTGGGCTTGGCGATGGGCATCGAGCGCGGCGTGGGCATGCGCAGAGGGGGGAGGGAGACGGGCGAGTCTGTGGGGGCGTCTGTTCGTCAGTGCCCGTGAACGTCATGGGAGGGAGGGTCGAGGCGCGTACCGCGGTGCGAGTAGCCCTTGTAGAGGCTGGTGGAGCGGGAGGAGTGGTGGTGATTGGATCCGGATGAGTGTCCTGCGTCGCTGGGATGAGCATCGGGTTTGCGGCGGGCCGGCGACGTGTGCTGACCTGGTGAGCTGGCTGGAAAGTACATGCCGCGGTACTTGGGGAACTTGGCGCGGCTGGTAGATGGGTATGCGTCCAGCCCGTGGCTGTTATCTGGCAGCGCGTCAGCCGCGGGCCTTTCAGCCATCGCTCGACTGTGCTCACGGCGTATTCTTTTGTTGGGCAGAGTGCTGGGCGAGGGAGAGCGCGAGAGGTAGTCCTCTGAGCCTGCGCGGGTGCGCTTCAAGGTCGACATCACGGGAGACGATGTGCAGGGGATGGCAGCGAGCAGCAATTGACGACGAGCAGCAGAGTCGGCGATGGTTCGGGAAAGGGCGCTGCGTCTGGGAAAATGGCCACTCGCCTTGCTCAATTCGGGGGCCCGGGAGAGGGTTGCTATTTTTGGACCAATCACGTGCAGTGCCGGCTCGGCATCTGCTGCCACAGATTTTCACACGCTGCCGCTTACTTTCACACGCTGCCGTATACTTTCGCACGCTGCCGTATACTTTCACACTTGGACTTCCATGTTGGATTTCCCCGCCAGTTCCCTTCGCTCCTGCTTTGTTTGCGTTCCCTCTTGTGTTCTTTCCGAGTTCCATCTTGTGTTCTTTCCGAGACTATGACTATGTCCTTTGACGATATTCATGTCTTTTGACGATATACCTGCTTATGTTGCCCTTAATCCGAACCTCGAACCTCGCCTTGACCTCGCCACTTGATCATGATCAGCCGGAAGATGACCGGCCGGGAGTGATACAATTGAGTGAAAAACGCCTGGCGGGTCGGGGCCTGGTCGATACACCGCGAGGGGGGGCGGTCGATACACCGCGAGGGGGGAGGTCACACCTCACTGCTCGGGAGCGCGTCTGGGACTGCCTGGACAGCGTTTCACGGCCATGGCTTCGTGGCTTCGTGTTTGCGGTCATGGCTTCGTGTGTGCGGCTGTGGATTCGTGTATGCGGCCTCCTTTGACGCGTGCTCTCGCGGCTGTTTTCCCTGACAGTGTCACGACCCGAACTCGAACTCGCGCAAGATCCAGTGGCTCATCGGAACTCAGTAAGTGACCATGGCTAATCGGAAAGGCTGGATACATAAGCTGCATGTATGACATGGTGAAGCTTAGGTCGTTGTGCGAATACAGTACAGGAAGTCACCACGCCGACAGGTCCTAGTCCGGTCTTCGTCACGGTGCGCGCCACGTCAACGAACTGACGACGTGGTGCGCTGAGTCTGACCGGTCGCATCGTGCAGAGGGTGCCAGCGGGCGCGGACGCAAGAGATGGTATGACCGTGCGCGGTCGCGATCCGGTACTCACTGATGAATACTGTAACGATTTCACTGACTGACTCCCTAGCCCCACGTAGAGTATTTATTGTACTCCCTACCACCACCCTCTGGCAACTTGCTGGTGGACAAGAGGACGGAAGTAGCGGACGGATGAGAAGACTCAGTCAACAATATTCTAATATTCACGCTACTCTCACCGGTATAGTAAGCCTCTTCTGCAAAAAGCGGAAATACTTCCCTCCACGCCGGGAAGCAGGACCGCGACGGCGCGTCGGGGAGCGGTCAGCAACTCGACTTCTGTTTCCTATGCGTGGCTTCTGACGTTTCCTGGTTGTTTGTGGCTTCTGATAGTCTCCCGTAGGCAGACGTTCGAAGAAGCTTCGCAGTGTAGGCTTCTGACGTTTCCTGTTTGTTTGTGGCTTCTGACGTTTGCTGTACGCGGCTTCTTGGTTTCCTGGTTGTTTGTGGCACGGAGTAGCTAACCGCCCTTCGACTTCGGTCCACTGTTGCCTTCGTCTCACACCTCGAAGGGGACTCCTTTTCGCACGTCGAAGGGGACTCCGTCTAGCACCTCGAGGGGACTCAGTCGAGCACCTCGAGAGGGACTTCGTTTAGCACGTCGAGAGGGACTCCGTCTACTCAGCACGTCGCCTCCGGTTCAGCACCTCGAAGGGGACTCCGTCCACTTAGCAACTCGAGGGGACTCCGTCGAGCACTCCGAAGGGGACTTCGTCCACTTAGCACCTCGAAGTGCACTCCGACTCCCTCGCTGCGCTCGATGCCGTCTCTCCCGCCGCGCTCGATGCCGTCTCTCCCGCCGCGCTCGATGCCGTCGCCTGCATCTCCCTTGCCGCGCTTGATGCCGTCCGAGTCGCCTCCGACTCCCTTGATGCCGTCGCGTCCGGCTCCTTCGCCGCGCTCGATGTGCGGGCGCGCCGTGCTCGGTGTGCGGACGCGACCGTGCTTGGTGTGCGGACGCGCTCGGGCTCGGTGTGTGTGGACGCGACCGTGCTCGGTGTGCGGACGCGTCCGTGCTCGGTGTGCGGCTAAGCGGGAGGACGTGTCGGGCGGATTTGAGTGAGGTGGAGAGGATGTGGGCGCGGACGTGCCATGCGGATGAGCGGGAGGACGTGACGTGCGGCTGGGATATAGGACGTGACGTTCAGGGTGGGATATAGGACGTACCATGCGGAGGTCGAAAGGGCAGAGTACGACATTTGCACACACTTCGTCGTCGCTCGCGAGGCCCTCACCGACCGCCCTCACCGACCCTCACCGACCATCGCGAGGCCCTCGGGGACGCTGACGACGCGCTTGTGGCAGCGCGACGGGTTGCTTGGCGGCTTGGCAGCGCGACGAGTGGCAGCTGGAGGGGCAGCGCGATGGGGTGATGGGTTGCTGCGCGACGCGTCGCCTGGTCTGCTTCGTACGACGCGTCGCCTGGTCTGCACTTACGACGTGTCGCCTGGTCTGCATTCACGATGCGTCGCTTATTCTGCTCTGTACGGCGCGTCGCATGGTCTGCAGTTACGGCACGATGCATTGCCCTGCTCTGCACGGCACAACGCGGCGCCTGCTCTGTTCTGCACTTACGGCGTGTCGCATGGTCTGCTCTGGACGACGCATCGCCTGGTCTGCTCTCACGACGCGCCGCCTGCTCTGCTCTGTACGGCACGATGCATCGCCTGGTCTGTACGGCACGACGCGTCGCCTGGTCTGCACACACGATCGCGACGCGTCGCATGGTCTGCTTCGGACGACGTGTCGCCTGGTCTGGGCGACGCGCCGCCTATTCATACCCAACCACTCGGTCGGGCAGAATACGACATCTCTCGGAGTGGTGAATACGACGTCTCTCGGTCGGGCAGAATGTAACATCTCTCGGTCGGGCAGAATGTGACATCTGGTTGTCGGGCAGAATACGACGTCTGCCGGGGCGGTGGGGGTGCGCGCGATGCATGTTCGTTGTGTAGGGTTGAGGCGGAGCGTTGTGGTCGCGACATGGGTGGCGCTGTGCGCTCGATGTGGGTGGATCTGTGGGGGGGGGGGGTGGGGGCGACGTGGGTGGGTGGGTGAGCGAGTGGGTAGGTGGGTAGGTGGGTTGGTGGGTAGGTAGGTAGGTAGGTGGGTGGGTAGGTGGGTGGGTTGGTGGAGCGGTGGTACGTCTTCGTAGAGCTCGGGGAGACGGAAGACAAGACTCGGATCCCGGGGAAACGGAAGACAAGACTCGGATCCCTAGGAGACGGAAGACAACACTCGGATCTCGAGGGGACGGAAGACAACACTCGGATCCTCGGTGGCATACTTGTGTTCGCAGAGGGGCCATGGCCGCGCTCCCCGCCGGGCTTGCGACCAGAGCGAGGCGATGCCGTGCTCGTGTATTCGAAAGGGGTGTTGAGCTCGTGAGAGGGGTGGGGAGCGAGTTTACTGGGCAGACGGCGGAGCGGGTCTCCTGGAGGGTTATCACAAAGATTAGACCACTCACAAATGGTGGGCAGGGTTTGTGATTCGAGGAGGAGAGGATGAGAGGGGGATTTCCTGAGATGCGCGTCGAGCGGGGAGGGGAGGGGAAGGAGGGGGGGGAGGTGGGTGGGAGGGTGAGAGGTGGAGGTGGGCGGGGAGGTGGGTGGAGGTGGAGGTGAAGAGGGGGGGTGGAGGGGGAGGTGAGCGAAGGTGGGCGGTGGGAGTGAGAGGTGCGAACTAGCGGAGAGCAAGTGGTTTCGTGAACTAGCGGAGAGCAAGTAGTCTTGCGAACTAGCGGAGAGCAAGTAGTCTTGTGAACTAGCGGAGAGTAAGTAGATTTGCGATCTAGCGGAGAGCAAGTGGTTTCGTGAACTAGCGGAGAGTGGTTTCGTGAACTAGAGGAGAATAAGTGAACTAGAGGAGAATAAGTGAACTAGAGGAGAGTGGTTTCGTGAACTAGCGGAGAGTGGTTTCGTTTATCGGCTGGAGGGGAAGGGAAGGGAAGGGGAAGACGATTCGCCCTCCTACGGGGAAGACGATTCGCCCTCCTGGGGAAGACGATTCGCCCTCCTTCATCCGCCCGCCGTCTGCGTCGCCCTCCTTCGCCCGCCGTCCGCGTCCGCCCTTCACCTTCGTCTGCGTCCGCGGCTCTCCTTCGCCTGTTGTCTGCGTCGCCCTCCTTCGCCCGCCGTCTGAGTCTGTCCTTCGCCCGCCGTCTGCGTCTGTCTTTCGGGCGGACGCACGGCTCGCCCTCCTTCGCGAAGCTCGACTTGCTCACTATCGTGAAGCTTGACTCGCTCACTATCGTGAAGCTTGGCTCGGCCACCATCGCAAAGCTTGACTCGCTCACCATCGTGAAGCCTGGCTGGCTCACCATCGCGAAGCTTGACTGGCTCACTATCGTGAAGCTCGACTCGCTCACCATCGTGAAGCTTGGCTCGCTCACCATCGCGAAGCTCGAATTGCTCACTATCGTGAAGCTTGATTCGCTCACCATCGTGAAGCTTGGGTCGCTCACCATCGTGAAGCTCGACCACGCGGGAGCGGTATGGGCCTCTCCACGCGGGAGCGATATGGGTCTCTCCAGGCGAGAGCGATATGGGCCTCTCCACGCGAGAGCGGTCGGAGGACGCTGAGCGGGAGCGATATGGGCCTCTCCTCGTGGGAGCGCTATGGGTCCTGAGTCGTGGGAGAGCTATGGGGGGACGCTGAGCGGGAGCGCTATGGGTCCCGAGTCGCGGGGGTGCTGTATGGGTCAATCCTGGCGGGACGGGCTACGGGGTCACTTCTGGCGGGAGCGGTCGAAGAACGCTGAGCGGAGCCGGCTCGGGGTGGGAGCGCTATGGGGGAGGGGAAGTGGGAGCGGTGGGGGTGGTTGGGGCCATGGGGGTGGTTAGGGCCATGGGGAGGGGGAAGGGAGGAGCAAAACGTACGAGGGAATGCAGAACGTAGGAGGCGCGGTGTAGTTGAGTTGAAAGCAGGTGCGGTAGGCTTGAGATTCAGACAGGATGAATGAGTGGGTGTGTTAGAGTGTGAAGACGTGATTGCGTGAAGATGAACGGTCAGTGGTGTTATTGCGTAGGGAGGAGCGAGCAGGAGTGGTATTGCGTGAAGACGAATGTACATGAGAGGGATGGTCATCGGGTACGTGAGAGGGATGGTCATCGAGTACGTGAGAGGACGACGAAGGTAGGTACCAGGGAGGGCGGAAGGAGGTCGAAGGGTGTAGGGTACGGGGGACTGGTGAGAGAGGGGTGGGTAGGAGGAAGGGATGGAGTACGGGGAGGTGCGTAGGAGGATGAAGGGGAAATGACGGACTGGCAGTGAGATGGAGAGTGATGTACAGCTGGCGTCGTGAGGGTGTGTGGAAGCGGCCTGAGGATGTGTGATTCGACGAATGGACGGGCTTCGTGACAGTTAGGAGGGGAGAGGAAAGAGGTAGATGAGAGGAAGTGGTAAGGTTAAGAGGAGGAGGCAAGGGAGGGGGATATTTGGGTGGGATGGGAAGCTAGGGCAAGATGGATGGTGCACGACGTCGTTCGTACATGTAGCAGGTCTCGGACGTTGTGCTCGTAGACGTCAGTGAGGAGGTATGCGGGAATGCGAGCGTACTTGGGGAACGGGGTCCGGGCAAGCCTCTTGACGTCCTCGCACGCCTCGAGATAGTCTTACGCCATCCTTAGAGCATCGAGCAGGCGTCGGGTCGTTTGCGGGTCGTTCCAAGGGGCAGACGATGTGCGTAAGCGACGGACAGGCGATGCAGCATGTCGATCGAAAGGCCACCGAGCCGGACACTCGGCCCGAATAACCGCATGCGTGAGTCGGTGGTTAACGTCGGGCGTCGCTTTATCTGATCCCATCTCCGACCTCCGTCGTCTTTCACCAACAGGTAAGTCAAGTCGGCCAGTCTGCGTGCGTGCTTGGGTGGAGGTGGGAGTGGCCTGGCGAGCGCTGTTGCGGCCGTGTACGTCGAGACGCGCACGACGTCGATGAGTTCGAGCCGAAGCCGCCGGTGAGCTTGAGGCGTCGGTGAGCTCAAGGCTTGCGTCGCGCTATAGCCGTACACACACCCTCGCGCTCTCGCCCATCCATCCTCGTGCTGTGGTCCTCCCATCGCTGCGTTCCCGGCACCCATCCTCGCGCTTGCGGCGTGCCCATCTCCACGCTGTCGGCCTGTCATCGTTGCGCGTTTTGTAACACCAGTGCTGACTTGCTTCCCCAGTTCCGCTACGTCCTTTGGTGAGTGGTAGTGCCACTGCCACCATCGATTCACCCACCCCGTTCACCGACCGCTCCGACCGCGTCTGCCCGTCCTGCTACACCATCCACCCGCCGCCACTCATATTGCGTGGACTCCTATCCCATCGTCTTCCTACGCACCTTCTCCCACCATATCCCGCTCGTTATACCTCGCGCTTGCTACCCTCCCTTCACCGCCCCCGCGCTCACCAGTCAAGCTAACCACTCTCACCCAGACGACACCAAACTCTTGTTTCCTTCCACCTTACACGAACGAACCATGTCTTGGCAAGGTGAGCGGTGGTGTTCTTTGGAGTGGTGTAGATGTATGGGGATGCGCGTAGACGGTTTTGGTTTTGGACGAGCGCAGGCGTTCTTCGTATTCGTCTAGAGTCCCTCGACTCGTGCGGACGGTCTGCGGATTCGTGCAGATGGTTTTGGACTCGCGCAGAAGGTTTTGGACTCAGGCGGACGTTTGCGGACGCGCGCAGGCGGTTTTGGATGTGCGCGGACGGTCTGCGGACGCGCGCAAACGTGCGATCCCCCATCTATCATGCCGCTCGAGGCAGCATTCCCATCTCACGCCATCACTACCTACGCACTCTTCCATCTTCCGTCTTCCAGCACCCCATCTGGCCTCCCTATGCGGCGTTGTGCGGTCAGGCACTCCTTTGCCTTACCTGTCCGCTCCCTAGCCTTACCCGTCCGCTCCTTTACCCGTCCACTCCTTCACCTTACCCGTCCGCTCCTTTACCTTACCCGTCCGCTCCTTCACCTTACCCGTCCGCTCCTTAACCTCACCCCATCTTACCTACCCGCCCCCCTCTGCCCGCTCCACGAGGGGTGGACCACACTCTTTCTTCCCTCGCAGTTTGTCTCTGCGCCGTGTGGCGATCCCTCTTCCCCACCTCTTCCTTCCTCCCCCTTCACTCATCCCCTTCCCCCCCCCCCGCCCACACCATCACCATCACAAACCACCTCCCTCCAAAAACTCGCTAACCACCTCCCCCGCACCCACACCCCCGCCCACACCACCACCATCACTTTTTGACTACTCAAACTGCTCGCTAACCCTCCTTTAACGTTCGCTAACCACCCCCCCTCCCCTTCTCCCCACTCTTTCAATATAAAAAAACTCAACTTACACCTCCTCACCAGCCTACGTCGACACGAACCTGGTGTCCACCGGCAAGATCGCGCGCGCGGCGATCCTCGGCCTGCAGGGCGGCGTGTGGGCGAAGAGTGCGGGGTATGAGGTGAGTTGGGGGTTTGGGGTTGGGGTTTATTATATCACTTTCTACGCCGGAGGCGTAATCATTTTTTTTGGGGGGCTTGGATGGGGGTTGAGGGGGTTTTGGTGCCCCCTGGCGGGGGCAGGGGGGGAGGGGGGGGGAGGGAGTGTGTGGGGTCGGGGGGGGGGGGGTTGGTGAGGGGGAAGCGAGAGGGAGATGGGTTTTTTTGAGGGGGAAGGGGGGGAGGGGCGAAGGAGGGTGGGGAGGACCCCATGTTCTCACTTCTCTATGCCCCTCCCC